TAGTTAATATGAATCACATTATCAATGCAATTTAACCACATAAAAGCATGTTATACAAGGCAACAAAATACAAATTCTCAAGGCCATCAGCTTTAAATCTAAAGCACGAAATTAACAGAAGTGGGTCATGCCACCTAACGTCTATGTTCAAAATGTATCCATAAGATCATTCCTAAGCTATATTAGAACATCAAAACACAATTTACAATACTTATACAATTTAACCAACATTGGAACTTCTAATGCAACGCATGAAGCACAACTTCGCAAAGTTAACATCATATAACTTAAAATGGAAAGACAAATAAGGAATAACAAGTTACAACATCATCTAGTTATCAACTTGAAAATGAAATGCGAAATCAAACAAAGTGGATACTCGGATATCAGTCAGATCAGGCCGACACCTTGGTTACTTTAGGGTTACTAGCTCATGGTAAACCTCCCTATGTGCGCATTAGACTACATAGAGAGACTATCCCACGTACTAGAACCACGTCCTAGCCTTAGCTAAACAACAACATCCCCAAGTTTTCAAAATCAACAAGTTGTGCAACAACGTATATATCAGCATATATATACAAGATAATCAACTATCTACCATGCACAACCAAATTTGGAAACCTATACAATACATGCTCTATTTCCACAACTAATATAATATGATGAATGTCGAATCTCCAGTATGCGATTCGTTACACACTATGCATGAAAGATGTTAAATACGAAGTATGCAAATCAGTACATAAGGCAACAATATATTCAATAAGGAAAACATATTCTCATGAGTATAAACATAGCAACTATGTTATCCAATGCTCAAAACATAACCAAATGAATATACAACAAGTCCATGTCCAGGATTTTGATATAAAAACGACTTTCAAACACAATTAAATCCATGGCTCAATTAGATAGAATTTAATTAAATAAAAATAATTAAATTCCCTAAATTCTAATTCAATTCCAAATAACCTCAAATTAATATATATTAAAGAACATGGCATGGTCATCACCTATATCCATTCTAAAACTCAATTAGGTTATTGGAACAACAAAGTAAAACTCTAATTAAATCATGCTAATTTGATTACCAAGGTTTTAAAGTAACTTCAAATGGTCCACAAAAATATATATTAGTAAACAAGTCATGGCCAATACAAATATCAAGTTAAAATCTTAATTAAGCTAATGGGACCACAAAATAGATTTTAATTAGTTCTTTTAATTAAAATATCTAGATTTTCAAACTTAACCAAATGCTCTTAATTTAACATATCTTAAAGAATATGCCAAGGCCTATTGTAATATCACATTATAAGCTTATTTCATGCAAGTTACATCTGTTTAAATTAAACTTTCACTAAAGATAAATATTAAATAAAAGTTGTGATTCTCATGCAATTAGTCCCAATTTAATATATGTAAGCTACCATACCAAAACTTAATTTATCATCATGCCACAATCAAATTCCAAGTTGTATATCATCATGGGGATTAAATCTTAAACAAGAAATTAATCAAATGAAAGGTTCTAAAAACTTAACCAAATATTCTAAATCAAATATATGTAAAACTATATGGCATGTAAATCAAGAATATCAAGTCAGAATTCAAATAGAGTGAATAGTACACTCGGAGTAATTTAATTAAGCTAATTAATTAAATATTACTAGGTTTCAAAACTTCTCCGATTACTCTCAAATTAATCTATGTTGAAGAGCATGCTAGGGCCTAATATAGTATGCTATCACATGTTGATTTAAAGCTAGATAAGGCCACATGATTTAATATTTTATTCAAGATAAATATTAAATAAAATCTTCAATACTTGTCCAAATAATCTAAATTTAATATATGTCAATCTACATATCAAGGGGTAATATTCTATCATGCCACATGATTAAACAAAGTTATGGATAATCGAGAAAATTAAATCCTTCACAAGAAAAATAAATAATAAAATCTCTAAATTTTACATCCAAACATGTAATCAAGTTATATAAGCATCACAAGCATGTAATATAGCAAGAATTTAAATTATAGCACCCCTACCTCAATTTGAGATGAAAATCCCAAATCCCCACCGAATTGAAACGGCTCTAAACCCGACGAAACTCCTATGTTTTGTCGGGGACAACACAATCTATATGAATCCGAAGGAAGCCCCATGAAAATCCAAACTTGACTCTTAACCCAAAATCAAGAAATGGTCAAAAATGAATTCTAATAAGGGGGAATGGTAGAACACGTCGAGGGAAACAAAAACCGTGAAGGCCGAAGACTATTCACTTAGGAAAAGTAAATCAAAGGAGGAGAGAGAAGGTGGCAGCTCCATGGGCATCCATGGCTGCTTCAGGTCGTGCAAGGAGAGTGGTGAAAATAAAAAATAAAATATTTCACCCCCCCTTTTAAAGAAATCTCAAAAAGTGCCCCGAACAGGCCTCACCGGGTCCGGAAAAGTGAAATTTGAGCAAACGCGCTCAAATGGTAAAACTTCATGAACAAAAAAGATTTAAAATGGGAAAATATGAATAACGGAAGAAACTACGTCGAAAACCGAGTCCTGAGCAAAAAGTTTGCCTCGAACAAGTTCGGCGGCAACTAGGTCCAAAAACTTTGAAACTGGAGAAATATGACCAGAAGGAAATTTCAAGAGTCAACGATTCAACGAAATGTGAAAATGAATCCCGTACGAGGATTCAGGCTCCAGACGAGACATTTTGTAATAACTTTCGTTAATTGCACAATGGCCCTACAAAAAGGGTTAACTGCGAAACTGCCCTATAATGAAAATATCTTCTAAAAGATATTTTCTTAGATACCCCTAAAATAAAATATTTTCAAAAGATATTTATGAAAAACACCCCAAGAAATGAAAAAGATTCTGAAGAATTGTGCATCCATACCCCTATGGGCACCAGGAGCAAACAAAGTATTTTCTTGCAAAAGTAAAGATACATATTTCGAGGAAACCACTCAAGATGAAGGCACGTGAAGTCAAAAACTAACTCTGAGCACGAAAAGTGAGGTTGTGCCAAAAACTGACAAACGGAGAAAAGACAGAATAGGGAAAAAGACGAAATAGGGAAAAGGACGAAAGATGCATAGTGTTGAAAAACGAAAAATGTGAAAATAACTCGGTCCTTAAAGGAAGTTGTCAATCCACAGAAAAGAGTCTCAGGAACCAATTCCAAGCATTCGAGATGACACTAAGTGACAAGAAACAGAGCTTAGAAAGGAAAATTAAACGGAAAAAATTTATCCGTAAAATTTCAGGAAAAAGGAAAGGAAGGCAAATGACCGGGTTGTTACATATAAATGCATTAAATAAATCAAGGAATTAATAAAGATGAAAATTAAAAAAATTTTGAAGCACAGGAAACTCGGCCTGGGCCCGCATTGGACCTCCCGGACCTGAAAATCCCAAAATAACTAAATAGTCAAAAATACATTTATAAGAGTTCTAAAGTCGAAGAAATGTCCCAAACAAACTCCAGGATACACATAACACAAAAAACCGAGGTGCGAAAATAATAATTATAAAAATAAAGAAAAGAGGTCAAAAAATCCGAAACATTACAGGACTTTTCACGTCGAACGGTATCTCAATTAATTTGGACAGTATACAATTTACTGTTGGGGAGCCAAATCGGTCGACGTATTATTCCACGCGTCGACCGATTTACCAGAACCAGTCGACGTGTATGTCCCATATCGACCGATTCCTGAAGGCTGGGTCAATTTGTTTTAAAAAAAAAAGATTTTGTTGTTTTTTTTTACTCTTTCACGACCCCATTGAGTCTTGTGGACCTTGATACATTAGTGTAATGATGCCTCGCCAAAGGAAATGATTGTATTGTCCACGGGTTTAGGTAACGACCTTGCTAGCTATTTGAACTCTCGGATTTGGGTCGTTATAATCAACGTGTATTAAAGGCCCGAAGCGAGCAATCAAAATGTCAAGGAAGGATGCCCATGTAATTGTTGTATGCTTGGATTCCATCTAGTCCATCCAATGAGTTGCATCTCCCTCCAAATGGAAGGATGAAACCTCCACACGCTGATCTTCTGGAACATTGTGATTGTAAAAGTATCGTTCAGCTTGCAAAATCCAATCCAGGGGTTGTTTTCCGTCGAATGTCGAAAAATTCAACTTTAGAGGTCAAATTGTCATGGCACGGTTGGTGTCTTGAGGACGGGTTGCAAAATGAGAGGAAGATTCACCCACGATCGAGGGTTCCAACATGACTTTCTGGAACTCTACTTGCTCCTTGGTTAATTATTGGAGGGAATTCTAGTGCCTTGCTTGGATTGCATTTTAAAGAATAGTTCTAAAGAACAATTCTCAAAAACAGTTTTCAGAAAACAATTTTCAATTTTTTCAGATTTCAAACCTACTTGGTTAAAAGAATTTACAAAACAATTTTTAGAAAACAAAAACTCATAAAACTACTTGGTTGTATGGAGTTTTTAAAAATAGTTTTCTGAACTAAGAAAATATATAAAAATATTATTGTACTTCACTCTTTTATATTTTTAATTTATGATATTAACTATTAATGTATATCTATATATATATATATATATATATATTTTAAATAAGTGATGGAGGTGAATTCATTTTAGCTAGTATTCTTAACTTAATAAATGTTGCACAAATACAATTTATCAAGTTTAATTAAAATTTGACTAAACTAAAATACAATAAAAGAGTTACATGAATTACTTTAAGTGTCATATGCACTTTTAGTTGTACAAACATTAATTTTAGTGATACAAAACGAAAACCTAATATTAAGAATTAGACAAATAACTAATCAAAGGAAAGCATTGGAGAATTATAAAAGTAACTTCATCTAGCATTGCCTCTGAATGATCTAGCATTGCCTCAGTCCAAGCTCTTCAAACCAACTAGAAAGGAAAAGAAGTTACAGACAAAGTAATGGTACAAAGCTAATATTGTAACACAAACCAAGTAGTAAGGAAACAAAAGCTACTAAAATGAAAGAAAAAGCTCATTCCATATTATTGATTTTAATAAAGATGTTACAATGATTTTACAAGAAAAATTAAAGAGAAAATATCCGACGACTGTTGGTGACATTTTGATTTATCTGCCAAAGAAAATCCTCTCTTTAGAACATCAGCAGGCATATGCTTGATTTATAGCTTTCAAACCTGGATATTCAAGAAGTGAAAAGACCTGCATGTAAACCAAACAAGAATTCTAGAGTAAAACTTTAATTTGATTTAGCAGTAGAAAATTATATGGAAAACACAAGACAAAAGAGAAAGGGAGTTTGTAAAGAAGGTTGTCTGCTATGAAACAACGAACCCATCCCATGTGAGGAGGAGGTTCTAGATTGCACCATCAAGTTTGTCGCAAACTAGAAAAATAGCACTTGAAAAGAAAAAAAACACTAGTAAGAGGAAGGAGGAGAAGAGGAAAAAAGAAAACCCAATCAATCGCACTAAGCATTATAAAAGATCAAAAAAGATAAACTTAAACCTTAAAGGGGAATGTACTTGTTAATATCTAGATTCCTAAAATAAAACTTTAAATTAACAACAAAAAGGGCAATTTACCCAATATTTTTTCCAATTTTAGGTGTTTGTACAAACTTAAAAGCGACAAGCATTATGTGCTATAAGTGACCGACTTCAATCCCAAAACCATGTTCTTCTGCTTGAGAAAATGTATAGCACATTAAAACCATGAAGTGTTTCACAAAGTTGTTTTCTCACCTTATTTTAAATCCAACCCTTGGTTTTTCTTATCATTTTAGATTCCAGTACTTCAATAATATAAGTTAGGTCAGTGTATAAAACTAGGGGAAAATGTACATTGTAGAGGCCTTTAGATCCTGCCACATCTTAGGAAAATACTTTAAAACATTTTTCCTATCTAACTAGGAACTTACATGATCACTGATGAGCAGATGATCAAAGTGGCAAGCAATTTGCCACCACTTTTCACCAACTTCTGTACCAATCATTCTATTCAGGTCCAACTTTAAGTGGTTCTTTAAGACTTTAGATTCACAATATTGCTTCTTTTACTTGCTCATACTTTGATACTTCTATCTTACCAGAGTATTAATCAGAAGCAAATTTTGATTGTATTTATAGAACAGAACATCTAGATAACAGAATAGATAATACATAAAGAATTAAAGAACAGAATAGAATATTGAAACCCTAATTACATCAAAATCCATAATACTCAAACCTAGAAATTCCATTCCCTTCCTCCTGCACCAAAATAGAAAAATAAAAATAAAATAGACCCTTCAAAGAGAAAAACAAAAAAGCGTATAAAATTTTTCTAATAAAATTTTTACTCAAAACAAAGAAAAAATTAAAAGAAAATTTGGGAAAACCATAAAAAAAAAAAGAACATCCAAAGACATATATCAAATACATCTATACATATAATTATGTACAGACATATATCAAGTAAATTTATAGATATGATTATATACAAATTCATATAAAATACATTTATATAAAAACGTTCCTCTCTAAACCCTAAACCAGAACCACAATCAAATCCATCCAACCAACCAAATCCACAACCAACAATGAATCCACATAGGCTGGTGACAATACAGAATAAGGCCACATTTTTTAAGTAAAACCTGTTCTCCGTGTTTTCAAATAAGGCCACATTTTTTTACCAAATAGAAAACAAAAAGTTATGATCACAATTTTTTTGATATATGTATATATGTATATCTACATATATAAAATTACATCCGGAAGAAAAGCCCTAATAATGAAGAAATCGGGCAAAATGAATCTTAAAGAGTTTATTCTATTTTGAAGAAAAGCCCTAAAATTGAAGAAATCGGGCAAAGTAAATCTTAGAGAGTTTCTTCTATTTTGAAGAAAAGCCCTAAAAATCCTGGAGAGAGCAAGATGAGGGGAAGGATCGATGATTACCTGAAGAGTTCAACTCGATTCTCAATTGGACTAGAGTGGTGAGAGAAATTGTACTGAGAGATCAGAGAAGTCATAGAGATAGAGAGAGCAGAGGTTTTGTGAAATCTTGCTGGATTTCCCATAGGCTGGTGACGATACAGAATTTGATCAGCCAACAAAATTCGCCATAGCTTCTTGAGGAGATCTGCATAACGAGCTTCAAGAGAGAGAGACAGAGACAAAGGATGATAGCGTAAGAGGAGATTGATACAGCGTGAGGATGTACGGTAGAAGGAAGATGAGATAGAAAGAGCGTTGGATGTTGTAAACGAAAGAAATCAACATCACTTAAGTGACTGAAGCTGTTCTCCGTGTTTTCTCCCAAATGAAAACGATTCTCAGAAAACCCTCAAAACATTTTTTAGCCATTCTCTAAAAACGTGACCTCTCAGGGTCCGTTTGGATGGCGATAACGTTATATGTTATGGTTTGGTACGATATGAAAACAACTGTTTTGGTATTGGTATGTTTTTAGTAGAAATCGGATCCATGTTTGGTAACGATTGTTTTGTTTTTAATAATTGTATATCAGAAACATGATAACGCGTTTGGTATTGTCATGCGTTTTAAGAAATTCAAAAACAAAACACGTTTGAGAATAGTGTTTTGTTATTAAAAATTCTGAATCAATAACAGAATACCTGTTTGGTAAAGACTGTTTTGTTTTGTTTTGAAAAATTATATATATGAATACAATTATAAGTTTATATGTAAAATAGTCCATTTTTCTTTATGATTTGAAAAAAAAAAAAAAAATCTGCATTAGAGTTGGGAAATTTTTTTTTTGTTAAATTTACAAGTATAATGGCAACCAAACTACTTTGTAATAATGAATAAATCTGCATAAACATGATTAATGGCAACCAAATTACAAATCTAACTTTGTAATAATCTTTTAATGAGAGTAGATCTTTGCACTCCATTTATCTTTTTCTTTTGGCTTGCATTCCATTTAACTTTGTTTTGTTTCATATATATATATATATATATATATATATATATATATATATATATATATTCATGAAGAATGTGAGAGAGAGAGAGATCCTTGTAGTTAAAACTAACAAGAAACAAAGCCAAAACGTTAATCGTCTTGAATTGGTCAGAGTTGAAATTTGGTGAACATTGAAGCTTGTAAATAGTTTTACTTCACTTAGATTAGTTTGAAATTTTGCAGTGGAGGTCCTTCAAATTGGTAATATTTTTTTTTGTTTAGTCATAAGACCATTTCCCCTTTTGTTGAGTATTTATTTTGATAACGGACTTGTGAATATTTCATACAATATCCAACCATAAGCAGAATTGATAAATATGAATAAAGATTAAAAGTAAGCAATCAAGGAAGATCCCTCTTACAAGACTGAACGACATTCACATATATACTTCCACGTATAGTTTTGCTTTATACATCACAATCTTAAGAACTTGAGTGTTGCATCATTCACATATATACTTCCACATATAAGAAGCTAGACATTCCTTTAAAATATTTGAAAGTACACACACACTTCATTACACTTACAAAAAATATACACATAATTGGAGATCACTAATATTCATTCCATAAAATGTACACCCACTTTTTTATACTTGCATAGGCCTCCATTTGATTAACTTAGAGATCACTAGCTTTCTGGAGTTGCAGCAACTAGAGAATGCTTCCTATCAATCCCGCTGGTGCCACTGCCTACAACTTACTGCCATGTCCTTCAATGTAGTAGCAAAAAATGAATTTGAATGTAAAACAAGACATTACCTATAGTAGCAAAATATAAAGCAGAGTTAAATTAAATTTTTATTATTTTTTAAAAAAAAAATCCGGCATGACTTCCCCTTAAAAATGGACATTTCCAAAATTTCAAAACACAATAAACCCAAGGGACACCGCCCACAAAATTAATTCAATAAGGGACACCGCCCACAAAATTCATTTAACAAGGGACACCGCCCACAAAATTATTTCAATAAGGGACACCGCCCACAAAATTCATTTAATAAGGGACACCGCCCATAAAATTATTTCAATAAGGGACACCGCCCACAAAATTCAACTAACAAGGGACACCGTCCACAAATTTAATTCAAGCAAGATATATCTAACCTTCTTTCAGGCTAAGCTGCAAATTTGGAGTGTAAATGACCTCATGCAAAACAAAACACATGAAGAACATTAGAGAAAAACAAAATAACACACGGTAGGAATGAAATAATTAGAAGTAGTAAATAAGATATATCTAACCTTTTTTCAGGCTAAACTGCAAATTTGGAGTGTAAATGACCTCATGCAAAACAAACCACATGAACAACATTAGATAAAAACAAAATAACACACGGTAGGAATGAAATAATCAGAAGTAGTAAACAAATATATCTAACCTTTTTTCAGGCTTAGTTGTAAATTTAAAGTGTAAATGACATCATGCAAAACCAAACACATGAATAACATTAGAGAAAAACAAAATAACACACGGTAGGAATGAAATAATTAGAAGTAGTAAATAAGATATATCTAACCTTTTTTCAGGCTTAGTTGTAAATTTAAAGTGTAAATGACCTCATGCAAAACAAAAGACATGAACAACATTAGAGAAAAACAAAATAACACCCGGTAGGAATGAAATAATTAGAAGTAGTAAATAAGATATATCTAACCTTTTTTCAGGCTTAGTTGTAAATTTGAAGTGTAAATGACCTCATGCAAAACAAAAGACATGAACAACATTAGAGAAAAACAAAATAACACCCGGTAGGAATGAAATAATTAGAAGTAGTAAATAAGATATATCTAACCTTTTTTCAGGCTTAGTTGTAAATTTAAAGTGTAAATGACCTCATGCAAAACAAAAGACATGAACAACATTAGAGAAAAACAAAATAACACCCGGTAGGAATGAAATAATCAGAAGTAGTAAACAAATATATCTAACCTTTTTTCAGGCTTAGTTGTAAATTTAAAGTGTAAATGACATCATGCAAAACCAAACACATGAATAACATTAGAGAAAAACAAAATAACACACGGTAGGAATGAAATAATTAGAAGTAGTAAATAAGATATATCTAACCTTTTTTTTTCTCTAATGTCGCAAATAGAGTGTAAATAACCTCAGTAGCAAATTTTACAAATACCCTAAAGCTCACTCCCAAAATGACAGAGAAGATAACACAACAACAACTAATACGTAGTTCAAAATATACCATTTAAGTATATATTACATACCAAATGAAACACAGGAAATTAACTAAATACATATTACATGTCATATATTACAAAAGATGGAAGTTTATCTAACTTCATCTTTCAATAACAACGATAATGAGCAACAAGAGGACAATCACAATAAATATGATTGTGATAGCAAGACATCCACAACCTAGGAAGAGCATGTACTTCTGTCTACATTGTTCATTTTGAATCATTGCAATGACTCTGTCCAAGTCAGATTGAACCTGTTCTTCAACTTGTGCACCTTGGTGCAACTCATCCACCCACATAAATGCATTCATATGTGACTACAAGAAATATAAATTATACAATTAGGAAACAGTAACAGAAATAGCACCTAAAAGTAATTGACCATACCTCCCGAGCCGGACACCTATAGAATTGTCGACCATCATTTTTTGGAGTTCGAGCCCTATACAGATGCATAGGACCTCTACCACATGCACATTGTGGTCGCTCACCTTCAAGCCTATACATAAGTGCGCCTACAAGTACTAAAGCATTTAATATTTGATATCCTAATATAATTAGTTATTACAGTTATCCATAAATAAGGAGCATCTGAGTTTAATTTACGTAATATAATTAGTTATTACAGGCATCCATATTTTAATTCTACACACTATTAGACAGTTTTATAATTAGTGATTACAGTGCTCCCAAATTAGGTTGGCAATACCATCACGATAAATATCCATCTGTCGTATCTGTGTATTAGTAGCACTGACCACCTGAACATCGTCATCCACATCAAGTTCATTTTGTGAAGATTGAGGGGTTTCAGAATCAAAAATTTCATCAGATTCACCTTGGGATCTTACGAAATTATGCAATGTACAACAGGCAATGACAATAAGAACTTGAGTGTCAAAGTGATAAGGGGGCATTTGCTTCAATATAGCGAATCTCATCTTTACCAACCCAAAACATCGCTCTATGATATTCCTCAATGACGAGTGCCTAAAATTGTACACCTCTTCTCTACCATGTGGTCCTCTAGTATGTCTACGATATTCCTGCATATGGTAACGTTGACCTCGGTAAGGGGCCAAAAACCCCGGTTGATTGGCGTACCCAGAGTCGACTAAATAAAACTTACCTGTCATATTAAGTATGTTAAGTATTAAAGTTAACGTATTTGTAATGTAAAATGCACAAATATGAAAACTTAATATTTTTACCTTCGGGTGGTGATGGAAAATTGAAATCCTCATTCTGAATGCACTCATTTAAAATCTTTGAATCATTAGCAGACCCTTCCCACCCTGCTAGAATGTATGTGAATTTCATATCAAATGAACACACGGCCATGACATTTTGAGTCGTATCACCCTTTCGACCACGAAAGGGTATTTGTTGGTCAACTGGCACTACAGCATGGATATGAGTACCATCTATGGCTCCTACACAATTCTTAAAGTATGGGTAAAACTTTGGATTGTTCTTTATCTCTTTAGGAATTTCATTCAAATCCGGGGGAACAATAATCTTAGTCCCTAACTCACAAATTAACTTTAATACAGTATGAAAGTGATATGAAATTGTGGATGTAGAGTGTTGGAATCTTTCAGCAACGACACGATTCCTTTCATTGTGAGACACGGTAAGTAGGAAAATTGCAACTTGTTCTTCCACCGTTAGAAATGTTGAATCTTTCAATCCTAACAATTTCAACTCACGACACAATGCCCTAAAGGTGTTGGGGTACATCCGAAAATTTTCATAACACCTATCTTCATGTCCATTTAAGACCTCGAATATGTAATCTTCCCCTTGTAACATGGAATCCCTACAACGTTGTTTATCAAAATGTTTATAATAGTACTCATATACGGCTGCGATCAATACAAGAATTTCCTCCTCATCATCATCATCATAAATGGTTAATATTGTCCTTATATCCATAGCTACTATCCTATTTAAGAATAAACAGAAGCAGTTATTGTAACAAAAATGAAGCAAAATGGAAAAGACATACCAAATTATACAATTATCCAGCAACAATGTAAAAGCAATAGATGTAGAACATAAATAGTTTTCCAGCATTAATTTAAAAGCAGTAGATAGAGGAATTAAATATAGTCTTCCAACAATAATGTAAAAGCAGTAGATAAGAAAAATTCATTACAGTCATCCAACAGTAATGTAAAAGCAGTTATAAAACAGTCATCCAAAAGCACATAAAAGTAAGATACCGAAGAAATCATAGAGGCTGATTCATCACCCACCCAACCTTCCTTTCATCAGGAATGCGAAGAAATATATCCCTCCACACCTTGTCCTCACCAAACATCCTTATGATCTTAGCATAATGGGTATCATCAATCCCCACTAATGTGTTGACGATCTTGACGCACTCTTCAAGCTGGGGATCCATTTCTTTTTCTTTTTTACTGGGAGATGTCACTTCAGGCATTTCGGTAAATCGAGATGGTTGACAACTAGAAGATGATTCTGCTATGGCTTTTGCAATTTTTTCAGCTTTTGCGTTCCCAATATTAGTCAAACATTCCATCACTAAAGACATTGTTTCTGAAAAAGTTTCTTTCTTCTGTTTCTTAGCTATAGGTTTGGGAGTAGGACTGAGGTCAATAGGTCCTTCTACATTAGGTCGTTCTACATCAGTCATGCCCACATTGCCCTCAATGTTATGAATTTGAGCTTCATGTGTTGCCACTTGAGGCATTGTTAGCACTTGGTGAGGTCTGGGTGGCTTTGTAGAAGGATGAACATGCTTGCCAGTAGCATGTGTATTCCCAAAAATCCTTACCATCTGCTCATAATTCTTACACCCCTGTTTTTTTATTTTTTTTCCATGCTTGAGAACCTACACGTTATCAACTTACAATTATTGTTCATCAAACCATTTTAATACTAAATCACTAATTACTTACTGTATGTATGGTAAATAGACACGTATTGAAATACTAACCTTGCACAATCGAACCCATCTTTCAGCTTCCAAGTTAATCATTCCAGTTTCACTGTTGTACCCTACACCAGTCTCAGATAATATTTGTTTGCAATCTTTGTACAATGCTCTTATATTATTGAATTTTTGTCTACATTGGTCCTTCGTGTACTTCTTTCCAGTTTCTAATAACATTGCGTCCACAATATGTGTCCACCCATTTGGATTAAAAGTCGTGCCTGTACGATTTCCTTTTCCAACCTCTTCCTCCATCAAGAGCATGAATTTCTCTTGATGGGCATTACACCAAACAGCGGCATCGGCCTGTTCAACAACTACAACATCCTCACCATTGTCACCATCAAGAGAATGAATGTCTCTTGATGGGTATTGCTCAACATTGTCATTGTTCATGTCCATCTGATTATTATTAAGTAATTGAACATTTTAGTATATTGAATTGTGTTTTGACTCATAATTCAACACGTCAATGATAAGTAAAAAATGTACTGTCTATAAAACACTTCATCTCACGAAGAGCAAGGTGAAGGAAAGTGGTATATAGCAGTACAACACACAAGGTACTGTCTTTATCTCTTTACGAAATTTCAGGGAAATATTATTGCAAGTACATTTCACAGAAGTAATACCTCTGGATGGCAACAATCATATTTTTGTTTCAGATGTGTGCATAATATACTGAGAGAATATTCTAATCATTTAGTGCATGGTGAGTGTTCCAGTAAATAAATGTATAATAGTATTCTTTAGGCCATTCTTTAGAAACTTAATTGCAACCCTATGAATTTTTGTATAATATCAACAAATATGCGAATGTGAATTGACAAGATTTGACAAATTATCAGTGCATTTTTTTCAAAGAGATGTAAATGTTTATTCTTTTTCTTATATTACCAATGAATATTCAAATATTCAACAAGCGATTCGTTCTCTATTTAGTTATGTGAACAAAAGTTCGTGTTCCTCTTCTGTTGATTTAATTTCTTTTTTGGATTCTTTGGGGCCTTAGACCCCGGTTTATTTTATGTCTACGGGACGAGTTCCCCTATTGAACGCCTTTTTAAATATTATTACTTATAAAAAATATAAAATAATAAGGCTATTCTTTTTAATAAATTAAATTCAGTTTTAATGCATTTCTTGTGGAAGGGTAGTTCTTTAATGAATGCTGGTTCAAAAGTAGCTTCGGAGGATGTTTGTTACCCTAAAAAGGAAGGTGGTTTGAGTCTTTGGAGTTGAATGCTTGGAACAGGGCCGCTATGGCTAAGAACTTATGGGAAGTTATTCAACTGATGCCTCAATCTCTATGGACTGAATGGGTTAAAGTTCATCTCCTTAGAAATAGAGACTTTTGGTCTATTAAAATTCCTCAAAGTAGTTCTTGGAGCTGGAGGAAAATCTTACAAATTAGAACTAACTTTAGAATGTTTATTATGCATCAAGTGGGTAAAAGGACACACACTTGGTTATGGAATGACTATTGGCTCCCTATGAGCCCTATTGTGATGAGAATAGGTAATAGAGTCATCTTTGACTCAGGTTTACAATGAACAAACAACTGTGGCTGATATTATAGTTAATAACCACTGGCAGTGGCCTCAAACCAACACCCTTGAGCTTATTGAGCTAAGGAATGCCATACCTTCAGATTTCCAGCCTTTCTAAATAATGATCAAGTTATTTTGTTACCTAGTAAGGGGTAGTTTACCATTAAAACTGCTTGGGAAAATATTAGACCTAAGAAAAATGTTGTTGCTTGGAATGAGACTGTTTGGTTTAAAGGAGCTATTCACAAGCATTCTTTTATCTGTTCGAAAATATATATTGGCTGTAGATTTCATCATCCTAAGTTTGAGAATTTAAAAGTTGATGAATGTTTAAATTTTATCCTTTTGTCGAATCTTTTGTCCTCCCATTTGTCCTTAAATAATATAATACAACAAATTGATCATTCAAACAATTTAATAATTTACAAATATCAATTTTAATTTTGCTTTTTAATGTACGATCAAGCCTGATATGATATAAGAGCCTGTTAGGTTGATTTATACATAATACAGATCCTTTGCAAAATTGTAATTTGGACCAAGAACAGATCTTGAAAATATCGCTAAAATCGATAGTTATAATTAACTCAGTCAACATTCTAATTGCTTCCACATTGCAACACACACAATCGATGGATGACATATAAACCCTTATATCAGAACAATGGTTGATAGAAGAAACAACCCAGAAACAGGGCTAAAATCAAACCCTCTCATGAAACTTGTGATCTGGACACAAATGCCCTAAATTACAACACTCACAACATGATTCGAATAAAGATCAGAACTTGGAAACGCAATAAAGATTCTGATTGTCACAATATTAGAGAGAGAAAGTGAACACGAGGACCTCCCAAATGTAAATCTCAAAAGCGAAGATATATGTGATCTATAGATACAAACAGAGACACAAAATGACGTACCTGGTGGAGGAGCTCTGCCAGATCGGTGGTGGAGAAACTTGAGATCTGGACACAAATGCCCTAAATTACAACACTCACAACATGATTCGAATAAAGATCAGAACTTGGAAACGCAATATAGACTCTGATTGTCACAATATTAGAGAGAGAAAGTGAACACGAGGACCTCCCAAATGTAAATCTCGAAAGCGAAGATATATGTGATCTATAGATACAAACAGAGACACAAAATGACGTACCTGGTGGAGGAGCTCTGCCAGATCGGTGGTGGAAAAGGTTGGATCGCCACTGAAGTCGCCTTTCAGGGAGCTACGCGAAGAGAGAGAAACGATGCTGAAAAATGACCTAAAATCTGATATGCGACCTTATATACATGATATCACCGCTACAGTATAAACGAGGATTGGTTTGGTTTTGGTTTCAGAACAATTCACCGACAGTGCCATATATCACCAAAATGTTGATATGGGTTTTGGCCCAAAAATGATAATGTTTTGGCACTGTTAAATACCATATCAGCCCACTCCAAACATGATATTGGCCCAAAACTAAAATCAAAACACCAAAACAATATCAGATATGGGCCTCCGAACAGGCCCTCAGTTTTCAGTTTTTAAAAAACACTTCTCCAAAAACAAGTGCCAAGCAGACAAATGAATTGTTTTCTAAATTTTTGACACTCAAAACTGTTTTGAGAGTGTCATTCCGAGCAGGCCTATCTTTCCCAATTTTTTTCAATCCTTTAGTTTTTCCTCCAGTTTTTCCTCCACTAAAAACTACCGGAACACAGTTGACACCATCCTTTATTTTCTTTTTTTTTCAAATCCCTCCGTAAAAAAGGAAGCTATGTTGAGTAGAAGTATTGAGGACAAGTATTGTTTTGTTTAATTATGTTGCTCAAGTGTTGAAAAGAATTATAATATTATTTTGTTAGGTCTGATGAGGAATTAACGAATTGGTTTAGCCATGCTCATTGGTTATTATTATTATTATTATTATTTTAAATTTGGAGAGAGAAGCATAACTCATTTAGGGCCTTTGGGTCTTTGGGCCCTTGAATGATCAAAAAAAAAAAAAAAAAAAAAAAACGAAAGAAGAAGAAGAAGAAGATTAATACTACTATATAGTTTTTCTTTCCCTACTGTCATTTTAAGGTACTGCGTTCCATTGATAAAAAAGGAGAGGAAAAATGCGATTCCTCCTCACCAAACGCCTCTCTCCTTACCTTCACCATGCTACGGCTTCAGCATCACCGTCACCATCGTCTTTACCTCCTAGTCGTAGATATGCTTCTCTGATATCGGTGGCCCTCACTGATGATAGACGATCACAGCCGTCGGTTCACCACGCATTCCGACGCGTCCTCGCGGCTCCATGGTCCGCCATACAGTACCGTGGTCTCAAACTTCGCGGCTCCGATGTGAGCTCCCTTTCTTTATTAGTGATCCGTACATGTTTGTATTTATATATTTATGTGAATTTTCACTTACTCTTGCGTTGGGGTTTATGAAATGTTGAGGTTTCTCATTATCCAACCAAATTGGTCATAATTCAAATAGATCTACTCGCGCGCGCGCACACACACAAATATATATATCTGTGTGTGATGTTTAGGTGTGATGTATATAACCAAATGTCTAAGCGTGTTTGTTAGATTGTTAACATTTTCAATTTGTTGCAGGTGAAACCAGGACAGATCATCGAAAAACGAGGTTTGGGTTTTAATCTTGATTTTAAAATCAAAACTCACATTTGTAGTTTGTGCATAACTACTAACAACAGTTGATTATGATTTTTTTAATTGGGGATGAGGGGTTTCTCATACATCAGGCAAAGTTTACGAGGTAATTTGTCAGCCATTTTCACATTTGTACATTTGTTTGTGTTTTTTGTGTGATGAAAGGTTGTTGCAAGTTATGGTCTGATTGCATTCATGGATATAAACTTGTTTTAGGTTTTAAAAGCGCAGCATTCCTGCCAAGGAAGAGGAGGAGCTGTTATACAGGTCTAATTTTGATCCCACTATTTCACAATTTCTTTTTGGTTTTTAAATATTGATTCATCTCAAATGTGAATCTTAGAAGTAAAAATATGATTGCAAAAAAAATTTGATTGGTGATTACAGAACAGGGAGAAATTGTTTGTCAAGTTTCCAGTATGGTATGTATTTTAGAATTCCATTGCACAATGCATTGCCATGCTTTTTATAAGTACGTGCGATCATTTGTATGTGCTTAATATGTAAAATAAGCTAATATGCTATTTGAAATGGTAGACAGTTTGATATAGTAATACAAAAAAGGTTATTTTGTATAGTTATACACATAAGTGGCTGCAAAGTTTTGTGGTCTTTGAATGGTATGGATTTTGATAATATTAAGTTGCATATTCCATTTATGGGAATCAATTAAGTTTAATGTTTCGATTTCGAGTTAGTTCATCCATAAGTATTTCAGAGAACAGTAGATTATGTTTGAAAACTATATAAGTTTCTAGCTTAAGACCAAAAAAATTCTCAATTGTAGAACCAAGGGCGATGGTGTTGTCAGGCCTCTTGGAGAATCCCATTGTTCACCACTTGGCACATGTAGTTCCCCTATCTCACTTGCACCTGACAATTAATCTGAGGAAGGTTCCAAGGGGATTCAAATCCCTAACCTCCAAATACCTGAGGTGAGTGCATTGTCATGTTAGGCCCTCCCCGTGGGGTCGAGGAATCTTTTTTGTTGAAGACAACAATAGTACTTGTTAGAACTTCTGTAAGAAGCCCTATATAATCTTAAAAGCTCAGCTAACCTCAAATGGGTAACCTTCTTAAAGCTTATAATTAATAATTAACCATGTTCATACTTTAAAAGTAACTAGCATGACTAGATATTATCTTCACCTACTTGGAGCGACTAGAAACAAGAAATCTAAAAATTAAGTAACAAAGTTGTACTAAACCTGTTTGTTCCTTATGGTTATCTAATATGGATTATAGAGATAACTTGTTCTTGATCTGCCCATTTGCTAGACAGATCTGGTCTTGGTTCGATGACATCCTAAATTGGTTTATGCCTTTATTTTATAGGTTTGAATAAATAATAGAATGGTTTATTCTTTTTACAAAGGGTAATTCAATGAGATCAAAGTTGAACAAGATGGTTTTGCTGTTGTTTTATGGGCTATATGGGGTGAGAGGAATACTAGATATCATCAAGGAAATTGTCAATCTGCAGTTGGGTTGCTAAAAGGACATGGTTCCAAATCACTGCTGCTGTTATTGATTGGCAGGATGTTGTGTCCAATGTGTAAGATCTACATTGTGTTCTATTTTGTTTTCTTTTATACTGGAAGTGGTATTTTTCTATTTTTCCACTTTTGCTTGGAGCCCTCATTGTGATAATCTTGTACTGAACCATACTACCTCTGTCTCATATTAATAGCCCACCTTTCTTTTTAGGGATGTCCCAAATTAGTTGTCCCATTCCCTTTTCAAAACAAATGAAAGGCTATCTTTCCATAATTACCCTTTAACTTTTACAAAAATCTCTTAACTTAATAATACAAATATTTAAAGTGAAAAGGACTACTTGGTAATTTTAAAAGGGGACAATGCAATAATTGCATGTCCCCTTAGAAAGTTATATTCCCCAAAATGGACGACTATGGGATGGAGGGAGTTTATCTTTTGGTGATCCTCAATACATTGCCTGCTTATGAAAAAAAATAATTTTTTTATACAATTTTAGGATGAGAGATGTGAAAGATGTGAAATAGGATTGTAGATTGCGAGACGTGGAAGCAGTTTACAGAAGGGTAATATTGGTAAGTTAAGTATTTAATTACCAAATCCTCCCTCCTTCAATTTTCCTTGTATTTCTTATCTTCACAATTTTCCCTTTGAATCCCTTCAAATCCCATTTCTTTTAAAATTCCAGGTCCAAACAAGTGAAATTCCTTTTGAAATCCAATTACTATGAAATCCTGAGGTTCCAAGCACAGTGTAAGTTCCCCAACCTTACACACAATGACCCTCCTTCATGGTCTGTCCTCCACTCTGAACAAAGCATTGTTGAACAAAGCGCTCCTAACACCCAAACCACTTACCTGATAGGGCTACAAACTTTATCCCAATTCACTACCAGAGTAGGAATCTAAAACAGAGCAAGTAATATGTTGGAAGACTCAAAAGGGTGCTCTTCATCACACATGGATCGAAAGAAGCCACTCTCCCCGAAGAGGCCCCTAAGGGAAGGCCCAAATAAGTCACTTATCAAAAAAGAAGAAGGGAAGGCCCAAATAAGTCACCGGGAAAGTCCAAACACACATCCCAAAATATCCATCGAGGAAGAAATACCAATCACCTACTCGCACAATCCCACTCTTCCCAAGAATCTGTTTCAGTTCTCATTTCTTAATTGAATTACAAACATCTCTCAATTCTGTTTTTCACTCCAGAATCTCACCCTGTTATTCACTTCAGTTCTCACTCCAGAATCTGATTTTATATTTTATATGCTGATTTTCGGTTTTATATGCTCTCGAAATTGGCATGCTATGTAGTGCTTTGAAATTGACATACTATTCATTTGCATCTTTATGTTAGTATGTTGACTATTGAACTTGAGTATTTGGTTTATTTGACTTTTGCATCTATATATTAACTATTGCATCTTTATTGGGTGCCATTTTTTTTTTTTTTTCTTGCCTTGCACCTCTGGCTCAAGGAGGTCTTGGCGCCTTAGTGTGGCTTGAGCCTTTAACTATAGGTATTTGGTGCTTTTCAATAAGGCCCTTTTGGGAAAGTGTTTATAGATATTTGAGACGAAGAGCCATAGACTCTCGAGGAGGGTGATTGCGAGCAGATTTGGGGAGGCGAGAGGAGGATGGTGCTCGTTTGAGGTGTGAGAATTCTAGGTGGAGTTGAGGTTTGGAAATTCATTTGGTGGGATAAATTTCCAAACACATCAGATTTCGAGTTTGGGACGGGCAGGGGAATCTATTTTTGGGAAGACATTTGGTGGGGTGATCTTTCTCTTTCTCTCACTTTTCCGAGACTCTTTAGGATTGCCACAGATAGACATGCCTTGGTTTCTATCGGCTCGATGGCGGGGCAACGTCCTGGGATGTGGCTTTTTTTTTTTTTTTTTGAGGCATTTTTAGGATTGGGAGATTGAGGATGCCATTGGTTTTTGGAGCAGCTCTATTAGCATTTCACAAAAGCCGGTTTAACATGATAGAACAAAGCATATTTAGATTGACAGGTATCTCATCAAGGAGAAGTTGAACGATGGAGTGATCAGTATGCTCTTTGTGAAGTCAAAAGAACAACTAGTTGATGTATTCACTAAGGATTTGAATTGTAATTCCTTTCATTGTATTGTAGGTAAGTTGGGCATGAGAAATATCTATGCACCAACTTGAGGGGGAGTGTTGGAATATGTGGGAATATTCTTGTGGTAAGCATAATTAATGGGCTTAATCATTGGGATTTGACCAGAATAAGTAGTGGGCATAATCAGTGGTGTTTGACCACAATTATTGTAACTATATTTCTGACTAATAAAAATACATGGGTGTAGAGATGTCTACTCTTTACAACCCTTCCTTACATTCTCTTTTCTACTCCGTCTTCTTTTCTATTTCTTTCATCTTTCAATTAGTTTTAACCTGATCGCATTTTTGGGTCATAGCACATTTCAATTAGTTTTAACCTGATCGCATTTTTGGGTCATAGCACATTTAATGGTTGGTTCAAGATGAGCAGTAGGGAGCTGAGGTACCCTTGTTTCTCACCCTCAATGTTTCATTAAACGAAAACAAAAAGCGAAAGAGGCGAAAAAAAGAAACAAGAACAGTCTTCGGAGAAGGTCGCCCGAGTGGAAAACTCCGGTGCCAGAGGGAGAAGGAAGAAAGAAGCTAGTGAGAGAAAACATCATTGCCCATTGCTTGGACAGGAGTATAAAATGCGCCTATCTCTTTGACTGAGTTGGAGCTGAAACTTCATTTAAATGGAAATACAATGGAGGAAGATGACTCCTTTAATAGGCAAGAATAATAACTGAAAAATAGTATAGTAACAGCCAGAGCTAACGATTTCCAATTCTTCCCTAACTAGCTGCTTGTCTTTGCCAGTTGAAGTACTTCCTTTGCCTCCCCTTTCTATAGCATACCCCAGTGCCGTCCTTTCGACCAGCAAGCTTCATCTGGGAGTTAAAGAGTAGCAACTGGAAGCTGGATTTTGCTTTATCTATTCATGTTACCCCAATATCCTTACCAATTCCATTGGTTACTCAAAAATATCTAAGATGGTGTTCCCATGTTGGGTTTTATCCTGATCGCATTTTTGGGTCATAGCACAGTTGATGGATGGTTCATGATGAGCCCATGCCCGATTTTACATTTTATTCTTTTGTCTCTTAATGTTTTTGGGTATGCATAAAAATGCAGGCAAAATTTTATTTCTCTTGTTGCACTAGATGAAGGAGCGCTTTTGATTCTTATTGATGGATATTGGATGGCTGGTCTAAAGTGCCTTGAAAATTGTTGGAGCAATTTATTTTTGCAATGGACGATCATTCTTGACTGCATTCTTGACTGGACTTCTAAACTTTCTTGAGCCTTCTATTGTTGCACGATCCTTATTTTCTTCACAATATGGTGGCATCTTCATTTTCTTGTTTCATTTGTTTGAAAACTTTTGTTTTTATTTCAGGTGGAACTTCGTGATGTTGACAGTGGAAATAAAACAAATGAAAGGCTTCGTACAGATGAGGCTATTGAAAGTATGCATCTTGACTTGTTATCTTTTTGAAAATTATTTGTTCAAGGGGTCTGTATTGGTATTGCAACCCCATTTCTTAATGTTTTGTTGCAATTACTCTCACAGGCTGTATTTGATGTTGCTTAGGAGATATCCATCAGTTGCTTCACATTTCTATACTTCCCCTAGGTGTGACGAGTTAAAGCTGAAATCTACTCGAAAGGGGGTGTGAAGTCTTTAGATGTGTGGTGCTGAACCTAAGTTGAAGCATCATCTCCATTTTGGCTATATACTGACTATCTAGAGAAAGGAACTATTATCTTTTACAGATAACTCCCTTGAACTACCAATTGTGCAATAAACCCCTCAAACTTCTTAGAAGTCCATCGGATACGCCCTTTTCATCCATCTGTTGTGAAAAAAGGAACGGCAACTCAATCACATGCAACCTGTCTTTAATTTTTTGTTAATGACTATGATGCCTTTTATATTGACCATAGTGTCCTCGGATAGAATTTGATCTGATTAAGCCCTTATATTTTTCGATAGACAACTTCACCTGATCTGACACAGCAAAAAATTAGATTTTTAAATCTCTAGCTTTGCCTTTGAAACAACAAAAAATTAGATTTTTAAATCTCTAACTTTGCCTTTGAAACATCATCCTCTCACACTGATTTCTATTTTTTCTCTCAATTTCCCGGTGGCATCAATATCCGATCGAGTTTCCATCCTTTGTCATCTTTGTGCTTCTGCAAGATCAAAGAACCTTTTTTCGTAAGTCGCTTTGGTCCTATTAGTTATACAAGACCATTGTGACCATTACATTCTTCTTTGGCCCATGTTTGGTTTAACTTGAACAAATCGCAAATATAGCCTTATTGTTTGAAGATGGAGAACTACACAGGTCGGAGAGGTAATATATGCAGAATTAACACTGGGAAACTTTTGGGTTTTAAAATCGCCATATGGCAGTGACAGTAAATGCGAGAAAATTGCTGAGGTAAAAAGGGCTAGGAGAAGGAGGTGAAATTTGTAGAGTTCTTTTGGAAATTGTGTAATTCAATATTAAATTTTCTGGTTGAAGATTGGATGAGGACAATGCTTTCCATATCTACACTTGAAATGCAGAGATGGGCTTTCTAAGCCCTGTTTCTCAAACTCGTCAACTTAATAAGAACACAATAATCTCTAAACTTACGGTGAGAACATGAGTCATGTATTGGCAAATTCCTACTCAACTCTTTGGTTGTGGTGCGTCAAAGTGTTAGTTGCCTACAACCAAGAACCACAGGAACCGATGAGGTGGGTGCCTGTGCCAAGAAGGATCAACAACCTTAAAAAGCACATTGAAGACATCAGCAATAAAGTTTCGCGTAGAAAATGACGCAGAAATTGCAAGGTTCAATAACGTATCCAGGACATAGGTAATTGAAGTTGACCTAGATTGGATCTTCGTTTGGTTAGCTCAATGTTTTCTAAAAAGTTTTAAAGAAAATCAGAATTTGTGGATAGATGGGTCGATTGATCGATGGCTCTTCAGTAAGCCTTCGTTGATAGGTGGATCAAACAAAGTTTCTCCAGAAAAAATGTTTAAAATCCAATAAGCCTTGTTTAATGGAGAAATTCTCAATAGGTGTCGATCAATAGCTCAATTTATCAAAACCTGTTGACTTTTATTTTTGGTAACTCTATTAAATCAGACTTTCAGTTGGACTCTGCATTAATGTATCATGGGACTCCTATATTGGCTATATATAAGGTTATAGTCAGTCCAAGAGATAATTGAGTCTCTAAAGATTATAGAGAAACAATCCTTATTTAGAGAAAGAAACAATCCTTGTTCTATATTTGGATTTCCAATTGATTGTCAAATTTATGTGATTGAATATCCTACAACCAGGAGATCGGCATAATCAATCCTAAAAGTACAGAAGGATTTAACAAGCGATGGAGAAGTAGATTGCGTGAGGAGCGAATTTGTTGATGGAGTGGACAACCTAGAGACTTAAGTGGATACTTTGGTGTGTCCGTGTCAAGATGTAATTAGGGAATTCTAGGGTGCGGACCTGGTAACCTAGTTGTACTATTTCTTTCGTGTAGTACAATGTTCATGGCTATTGTGGTTTACCCTAATTAGAGAATTCTAGGGTGCGGATCGGGTAACCTAGTTGTACTATTTCTTTCTTGTAGTGCAGTGTTCATGACTATTGGGGTTTTCCATGCTATTTTTTGTTTGTCTTTGCTCTCCCTATTTATGATTGTGTGGAGGTCATTGTGTAACAATCCACTCCACCACATGATATGATATTGTCCGCTTTGGGCTCGAGCTCGCACGATTTTGCTCTTAGGTTTTACCCCAAAAGGCCTCATACCAATTGGAGTGACACACCTACATATATAGCACTTCCCCTTTCCACACCCAGGCGATGCGGGATTGTGCACCAGTTGTGGTAGCCTGCCAGTGCCTCTTGTACCTGCTCACGGCACACTCGCCCACAAGGTCGTCACAATCACCCCTCTTTGGGGCCAACGTCCTCGTTGGCCACACATTCGGCTGGTTAGGCTTTGACACCATTTGTAACGACCCACTCTACTACATGGTATGATATTGTTCGTTTCGGGCCCGAGCCCGCACGGTTTTGCTCTTGGGTTTTACCCAAAAGGCCTTATACCAGTTGGGGTGACACACCTACATGTATAGCATTTATCCTTTCCACACCCAGGAGATGTAGGACTGTGCACCTGTAGCTCGCTAGTGTGGTAGCCTGCCAGTGCCTCTTGCACCTGTCCACGACACACCTGCCCACAAGGTTACCACACATTGATTTCAGTTAATTAGTTTCAAACTAATTAACAAAATTTCAATTTATAATCAGAAGTATTTTAAAAGTTGGTTGAAAGTTTAAATTAATATTCATAAGACGCATTTACCGTCCTCTAGGTCTAATACACCGTGTGTACCTTGACTTATTAAAGCCTTCAGTTGTGGAAGAAAATCTTCTCTGCGCTTTTAATATTTGTCGTCAACCAGTTTTATCCTGTCACATAAGTAAAAGTGCTTTATTTTATTGGGTCCTATCACTACGTGGGAGTATCTAATTAGTTGGTGATGCCATGTCACTAATACAACCGGTGCAATTAGGTTTTTCTCTCGTTTCGGTCCTTATACTTTCCATTCTCTTTAATCCACTAAACTATGAACAGTAAAACCAGAACATGAAATTGCAAGGTTAAAATTGAGATTAATTTGGTTTGTTTGATAGATGTTGAGGAGAGATAAGAGAGACTTTGTTTATGTGGTGGTATTGGAGGAAGTTATATTGCACCAAGGGTAAATTGGTGCGCCTCCACTAGCTGGAAGTAGATGAAGGAGAGAAACTGCTATATTGTAGTGGTGGTTACTTGTGGTGTATGATATGGATTTGTAGATTTGTTGTTTTTAATTGCTTTTTTAAAAGATAAACAAATCAGAGGTAGGGTCTATGATACCGATGTTAACTTTTTTAGTTGTGATTTCCTATAAATTATATTGATGATCTTTTTACTTATTTGACTAATTAATAATTAAGTCGGTTCTTAGATTGAATTGTGTAGGTGTTATATTTCACTGCTCCACGTGACCCTTTTGAAAGTTAAACAAGTGTGGACTGTTGCGCCCACGTGGCACGTTGAAAAGTCAAATAAAGTTTGGACTGCTATAATTGTGTGACACATAACTGAGTACAAACAAAACCTTGATATTTCACCAGGTCACATACCTCGAGAGGGCAACCCTTAAGTCATAGGCACACAAAACCCTGGCATCTCACCGGGTCATCAAACTTGAAGAGAGAAACCCTAAAGTCATAACCAAAACCATGGCATCTCACCAGGACATCAAACCTCAATAGGGCAACCCTTGTGTCACAAGCAAAACCTTGGCATCTCACCAGGTCATCAAATCTCGAGAGGGCAACCTTCGAGTCACAAGCAAAACCATGGCATCTCACCACGTCATCAAATCTCGAGAGGGCAACCCTCAAGTCACAAAACCCTGTCATCTCCCCAGGTCGTCAAACCTCGAGACAGCAACCCCTAAGTCACAAGCAAAACCCTGGCATCTAACCAGGTCATCAAACCTTGAGAGGTCAACCTTCAGGTCATCACACTTGTTTGACTTTTCAAAGGGCCACGTGGAGTAGTGTAATATGATACCTACAAATTGTAGATTTGAGATTGAACAATTTATTAAATACAACAAAGAGATGATTCTTACAATTATTAGATGAAGTGATTTAAGATGCATGATTGATAATTACAAAGTAAAATTGAGTTTATATGTTGTTTAGTCTATTTGGTCAAGCATGCTATATAATAACTTAACCTGTTGAAAGAGAGAGAGAGAATATATGAAAACATATATTATTGAGTGAGTAATAGACTGATACAATGGTGTTTATATCGGAGAAGCTACGGGAGTAGGTGAGTGGAGAACAAGTAAACCTTATACATGGTAATTCTATATATGGTAATGAGGGTAGCTGAAGGCGGCTACAAAATACAGAAATCCCTAATATACAATGTAATCTAACTGTATACGTGTGACAACTCATATAATACTGTACAACACTCCTCCTCAAGCAGGAGAGTAAATGTCAATAACTCCTAGCTTGCTACATATGGAATCAAATAGAGTTCTTGGGAAGCGCCTTAGTGAAGATGTATGCCAGCTGTCTACCAGAAGGAACAAAAGGTGTAACAATGTCATTCAAGTCAACTTTAGATCGAATGAAATGGCAATAAACTTCAATGTGTTTAGTCCTCTCATGGTAGTCGGGATTGCTAGCAATATGAATAGCTGCTTGATTGTCACAATGGAGAGGAATTAGGTACTGGATTGAAATCCCAAGTTCCTATAAAAGAGTTTTCAACCAAGTAAGTTTACAGACAGTGTGCGTCATGGCACGATACTCTGCTTCAACACTGGAACGAGCCACAACTGTCTATTTCTTACTCCTCTAAGTTACTAGATTTTTTCCT